GTGAGTGAGTGGGTGGATGAGTGAGTCGGTGAGTGAGTGGGTGTATGAGTGAGTGGGTGGTGAGTGAGTGGGTGAGTGGGTGTATGAGTGAGTGGTGAGTGAGTGAGTGGGTGAGTGTGTGGGTGGTTGAGTGAGTGAGTGGTGAGTGAGTGGGTGAGTGAGTGGGTGAGTGAGTGGGTGTTTGAGTGGGTGTTTGAGTGAGTGTTTGAGTGAGTGGGTGAGTGTGTGAGCCATCATCATCACCATCATCATTAAGACCATCAACACTATCAGCACCATCACCATCATTAACCCCATCACCATCATCACTATCAGCACCATCATTAACACCATCACCATCATTAACACCATCATCATTTTGATTTAAAGCTTTCGTGACTGCAGTGATTCATATTCTTAGTTCTTTCGGTAAAGTCACGTTGAAGGGAAACAACAAAATAATAAAATATATATAAAACAATAAAAATTCTCACGTTTGTGTTATGGTCGAAACGTCGTGAGAATTTTATTGTTATATATATTTTATTATTTTGTTGTTTCCATTCAACGTGACTTTACCGAAAGAACTAAGAATACCATCATCATTATCTGTGTCTGTGTGTGTGTGTCGCTGTGTGTGTGTCTCTGTGTGTGTGTCTGTGTGTGTGTGAGTGTCTGTGTGTGTGTGAGTGTCTGTGTGTGTGTCACTGTGTGTGTGTCTCTGTGTGTGTGTGTCTCTGTGTGTGTGAGTGTCTGTGTGTGTGTCGCTGTGTGTGTGTCACTGTGTGTGTGTGTCTGTGTGTGTGTGTCTGTGTGTGTGTGTGAGTGTCTGTGTGTGTGTCGCTGTGTGTGTGTCTCTGTGTGTGTGTCTGTGTGTGTGTGTGTCTGTGTGTGTCGCTGTGTGTGTGTCTCTGTGTGTGTGTCTGTGTGTGTGTGTGAGTGTCTGTGTGTGTGTCACTGTCTTTGCTTGTGTCAGGGGTGGTGATGAGGTGGTGGTGAGGGTGGTGAGGGTGGTGAGGGTGGTGGTCAGGGTGGTGGTGAGGGTGGTGAGGGTGGTGGTGAGGGTGGTGGTGGTGAGGAGAAGGAGGCGATTGAGATTGTTCAGTGGAGTAGCGTGGGAAATAGGAAGTTTCGAGTTCAGTGGTGAGTGTGTGCAGAGTGAGTGGGTGTGTGTGCAGTGTGTGTGCAGTGTGTGTGTATAAAGAATGCAGTGTGTGTGTGTGGAGTGTGTGAGCGAGTGGTCCGGTGAGTGAGTGTGTGGGTGAGTGAGTGTGTGAGTGAGTGTGTATGAGTGAGTGAGTGTGTGATTGAGTGGGTGAGTGAGTGTGTGAGTGTATGAGTGTGTGAGTGGGTGGGTGAGTGAGTGAGCGGGTGAGTGAGTGAGTGTGTAAGTTAGTGAGTGTGTGAGTGGGTGAGTGAGTGTGTGTATGAGTGTGTGAGCGGGTGAGTGTGTGAGTGAGTGTGTGAGTGAGTGAGTGTGTGGGTGGGTGAGTGGGTGAGTGAGTGAGTGGGTAAGTGAGTGAGTGGGTGAGTGAATGAGTGGGTGAGTGAGTGGGTGAGTAAGTGTGTGAGTGTGTGAGTAAGTGTGTGAGTGTATGAGTGTGTGAGTGAGTGTATGAGTGTGTGTGTGTGTGAGTGTAAGAGTGAGTGTGTGTATGAGTGTGTGAGTGAGTGTGTGAGTGAGTGTGTGAGTGTTTGAGTGAGTGTGTGAGTGTTTGAGTGAGTGTTTGAGTGAGTGTGTGAGTGAGTGGGTGAGTAAGTGAGTGAGTGGGTGAGTGAATGAGTGTGTGAGTGAGTGAGTGATTGTGTGAGTGAGTGAGTGTGTGAGTGGGTGAGTGAGTGTGTGAGTGAGTGTATGAGTGAGTGAGTGTGAGTGAGTGTGTAAGTGAGTGAGTGGGTGAGTGAATGAGTGTGTGAGTGAGTGTTTGAGTGAGTGAGTGTGTGAGTGTTTGAGTGAGTGGGTGAGTAAGTGAGTGAGTGGGTGAGTGAGTGAGTGTATGAGTGAGTGAGTGGTGAGTGAGTGTCTGCGTGGAGGAGCGGTGGTGCAGCGGTTAGCGCTACCTCCCCACCGTCACGTGCTGTTTGGGGGGGTCTGGCCTGTCTCCATCCGTGTTTCGTGTTGCTGGAGTGTAGTAAACATGTTTGTCACGTGTCCACGAATCCGGTTCTGTCTGGAATCGTGTGTGGGTCTGTGAGAAATTCTCACACCCACACACAATCACTAACACAATCATACACTCACTTACACAATCATACACACACAGTCACTTACACAATCACACACACACTCACTTACACAATCATACACACATACACTCACTTACACAATCATACACACACAATCACTAACACAATCATACACACACACTTACACAATCATACACACACAGTCACTTACACAATCACACACACAGTCACACAATCATACACACACAGTGTCACTTACACAATCATACACACACACAATCACTTACACAATCATACACACACACACTGTCACTTACACAATCATACACACACACAGTCACTAACACAATCATACACACACACTGTCACTTACACAATCATACACACAGTCACACAATCATACACACACAGTCACGTACACAATCATACACACAATCACTTACACAATCATGCACTCACTAACACAATCATACACACACAGTGTCACTTACACAATCACACACACACAGTCACTTACACAATCATACACACACTTACACAATCATACACACACACAGTCACTAACACAATCATACACACAATCACTTACACAATAATACACACACTTACACAATCATACACACACAGTCACTTACACAATCACACACACAGTCGCTTACACAATCATACACACACTTACACAATCATACACACACAGTCACTAACACAATCATACACACAGTCACTAACAGAATCATACACACACACAGTCACTTACACAATCATACACACACAATAACTTACACAATCATACACACACAGTCACTTACACAATCATACACACACACAATCACTTACACAATCATACACACACAGTCACTTACACAATCATACACATACACAGTCACTAACACAATCATACACACAGTCACTAACACAATCATACACACACTTACACAATCATACACACACACACAGTCACTTACACAATCATACACACACTTACACAATCATACACACACACAGTCACTTACACAATCATACACACACACAGTCACTTACACAATCATACACACACACAGTCACTTACACAATCATACACACACACAGTCACTAACACAATCATACACACACAATAACTTACACAATCATACACACACAGTCACTCACTTACACAATCATACACACACAATAACTTACACAATCATACACACACAGTCACTCACTTACACAATCATACACACACAATCACTTACACAATCATACACACACACACACTTATACAATCATACACACACACACTTACACAATCATACACACACAATCATTTACACAATCATACACACACAATCACTTACACAATCATACACACACACAATCATATACACTCATACACAGATACACATGCATACACACATACACAGATACACTCATACACAGATACACACACCCACACACTCATACACACACTCATATACACACGGATACACACACTCATACACAGATACACACACAGATACACACTCTCACACAGACTCACACACACTCACACACACTCGCACACAGACTCACACACACTCACACACAATCATACACAGATACACACACATTCATACAGACACACACACACACTCATACACACACCCACACACTCATATACACACACACGGATACACACAAACACGCACAATCATACACAGATACACGCACAGATACACACACTCACACACAGACTCACACACACTCGCACACAATCATACACAGATACACACACATTCATACAGACACACACACATATACACAGATACACACACCCACACACTCATATACACACACACGGATACACAAACCCGCACAATCATACACAGATACTAACAGTACTTGCCCCTACACACATTCATACAGATACACACATACACAGATCTTCACACACACACACAATCATACACAGATACACACACATTCATACAGACACACACACACAGATACACACACTCACACACAGACTCACACAGACTCACGCACACAAAGCTCCCCCGTGTAGCCCCTATCAGATTGTAGGGACAAGTGCTGCTAGTAGCGAGTAGCACCACCTATGATGCACACACAGACAAAGCTCCCCCAGGTAGCCTCTAGCAGGGCTGTAGGGGCAAGTGCTGTTGGTAATAGCGAGTAGCTATTACACACACAAAACTGTGAATACGGTGCAAACACGCCCTCTACTGGAAAAACCTGGGATCACTCACCACTCACTCACCACTCACCACTCACTCGCTCACTCACACACCACTCACTCACCACCCACTCACTCAACCACCCACTCACCCACTCACTCACCCACCCACGCACTTACCCACTCACTCACCCACTCACCCACCTACCCACTCACCCACTCACTCACCCACTCACTCACCCACCCACCCAGACACTCACTTACTCACTACCCACTCACTCACTCACCCACTTACCCACTCACTCACCCACTCACTCACTTACCCACCCACCCACTCACTCACCCACTCACTCACCCATCCACCCACTCACTCACTCACCCACCCACCCATCCACTCACTCACCGGGCATGATGTTGATGATGATGATGTTGTTGTTGATGTTTGTGATGTTGTTGATGTTGTTGATGCTTGTGATGTTGTTGATGATGATGGTGATGATGATGTTTGTGATGTTGATGATGATGGTGATGATGTTGTTGATGTTTGTGATGTTTGTGATGTTGTTGATGATGTTGTTGATGTTGTTGATGTTGATGTTGTTGATGTTGTTGATGATGTTGTTGATGATGTTGATGTTGTTGATGTTGTTGATGTTGATGTTTGTGATCTCTGTCTGCACAGTTGCCCAACATGTTTGGGAATCTGCGTTCAACATTCATATCGCTGATGATCGGCTCCTACGCCTCGTCAGCTGTCACCTTCCCTGGCGTCAAGGTTCAACAACAACAACAACATCATCAACATCAACAACATCAACATCATCAACAACATCAACAACATCAACAACACCATCAACAACATCAACAACATCAACAACATCAACAACACCATCAACAACATCAACAACATCAACATCATCAACAACATCATCAACAACATCATCAACAACATCATCAACAACATCAACATCATCATCAACATCATCATCATCATCAACAACAACAACAACATCACATCAACAACAACAACATCAACAACATCAACAACATCAACAACAACATCAACAACAACATCAACAACATCAACAACATCAACATCAACAACATCAACAACATCAACAACAACATCAACAACAACATCAACACCAGCATCAACAACAGCAACAACATCAACAGCATCAACAACAACATCAACAACAACATCAACAACAACATCATCAACAACATCAACAACATCATCAACAACATCATCAACATCATCAACAACATCATCAACAACATCATCATCAACAACATCATCAACATCAACAACATCATCAACATCAACAACATCAACAACATCATCAACAACATCAACAACATCAACAACAACATCACCATCATCAACAACATCATCAACATCAACAACATTATCATCAACAGCATCAACAACATCAACAACATTATCATCAACAGCATCAACAACATCAACAACATTATCATCAACATCATCAACAACATCATCAACATCATCAACAACATCAACAACATCAACATTACCATCAACATCAACAACATCATCACCATCAACACCATCAACATCAACATCATCAACATCAACACCATAAACAACATCATCATCAACAACATCAACACCATCATCACCATCAACAACATCACCATCAACAACATCAACAACATCATCATCATCAACATCATCAACATCAACACCATCATCAAAACCATCATCAACAACATCAACAACAACATCATCAACATCATCATCATCAACAACATTACCATCAACATCAACAACATCATCAACATCAACACCATCAACATCAACATCATCAACATCAACACCATAAACAACATCATCATCAACAACATCAACACCATCATCACCATCAACAACATCACCATCAACACCATCAACAACATCAACAACATCATCATCATCAACATCATCAACATCAACACCATCATCAAAACCATCATCAACAACATCAACAACAACATCATCAACATCATCATCATCAACAACATTACCATCAACATCAACAACATCATCAACAACAACAACATCAACAACATCATCAACAACATCAACAACATCATCAACAACATCATCAACATCATCAACAACATCAACATTACCATCAACATCAACACCATCATCACCATCAACACCATCAACATCAACAACACCATCAACATCAACAATACCATCAACAACATCAACATCAACAACATCATCATCAACAACATCAACATCAACACCATCATCACCATCAACAACATCACCATCAACACCATCAACAACATCATCATCAACATCAACACCATCATCAAAACCATCATCAACAACATCAACAACAACATCAACAACATCACCATCATCAACATCAACACCATCATCAACATCAACACCATCATCATCAACATCAACACCATCATCATCAACATCAACACCATCATCATCAACATCAACACCATCGTCATCAACATCATCATCACCATCAACATCGCCACCAACATCATCACAATACTCTTTAACATCATCAGCATCATCAAAATCATCATCATCACAATCATCATCATCACAATCATCTTTAACATCATCAACATCATCAACATCACAATCATCATCACAATCATCTTTAACATCATCAACATCATCACAATCATCATCACAATCATCTTTAACATCGTCAACATCAACATCACCATCATCAACATCATCATCATCAACACCACATGGTGCAGGTAATGTTGACTATGTTGATGATGTTGATGATGTTCGTGATGATGGTGATGATGGTGATGATATTGATGATGGTGATGATGTTGATGATGTTCGTGATGATGGTGATGATGTTGATGATGTTCGTGATGATGGTGATGATGGTGATGATGATGATCATGGTCATGTTGACCGTGGCGATGATGATCGTGATGATGATTTTGATCGTGATGATCATGTTGATAATGATGATAATCATCATGATCACCGTGATGACATCGATTATGTTGATGACGATGATTGTAACGATGTTGATGATTGTGACTATGATTGTGACGATGGTAACGATGATTGTGACGATTGTAACGACGACGATGACGGTGGTGGTCACTGTGTAGGTGATCTATGATCTGGGGGTGCCGTTCATCTCAATCCTGATTGGCTGGGCCGGCCTGGCCGTCTTTGTCTTCTTCAACTGCTTCGCCAATTGGCCTCTGGAACCCTTCCCAGGACCCGAGGACATGAACTACACGTAACTCGTTACACACGTTACACTGTGTGATATACACACACTGTGATATACACACACACACTGTAACTCGTTACACACACACACAGTGATATACACACACACACTGTGATATACACACACAGTGTGATATACACACACAATGTAACACTGTGTGTGATATACACACTGTAACTCGTTACACACAGTGACACACTGTAACACTGTGTGATATACACACACACACACTGTAACTCGTTACACACGTTACACTGTGTGATATACACACACTGTGATATACACACTGTGATACACACACACTGTGATATACACACACAATGTGACACTCTGTGTGATATACACACAGTAACTCGTTACACACGTTACACACACACTGTGTGATACACACACACTGTGTGATACACACACACTGTGTGATACACACACACTGTGTGATACACACACACTGTGTGATACACACACACTGTGTGATATACACACACTGTGATATACACACACACAGTGTGATATACACACACACAGTGTGATACACACACACTGTGATATACACACAGTAACACGTTACACACACACACAGTATGATATACACACTGTAACACGTTACACACACACACACACAGTAACACGTTACACACGTTACACACACACACAGTAACACGTTACACACGTTACACACTGTGATACACACACACTGTGATATACACACACACTGTAACACGTTACACACACTGTGACACTGTGTGATATACACACACACTGTAACTCGTTACACACACACACACACACTGTGATACACACACACTGTAACTCGTTACACACACTGTAACACTGTGATACACACACAGTGTGATATACACACACAGTGTGATATACACACACAGTAACTCGTTACACACACTGTAACACACTGTGTGATATACACACACTGTGATACACACACACACTGTGATATACACACTGTGATACACACACACACAGTGATACACACACACTGTGATATACACATAGTAACACGTTACACACACACAGTGTGATATACACAGTAACTCGTTACACACGTTACACACACTGTGATATACACACACTGTGATATACACACACACACACTGTAACTCGTTACACACGTTACACACACTGTGATACACACAGTAACTCGTTACACACGTTACACACTGTGTGATATACACAGTAACTCGTTACACACGTTACACACACTGTGATACACACACTGTAACTCGTTACACACATTACACACACTGTGATACACACACACTGTGATATACACACACACACACTGTGATATACACACACACACACAGTGTGATATACACACTGTAACACGTTACACACACACTGTGATACACACACACTGTAACACGTTACACACACACAGTAACTCGTTACACACACTGTGACACTGTGTGATATACACAGTAACATGTTACACACACACACACAGTAACACGTTACACACGTTACACATACACACAGTAACACGTTACACACGTTACACACACTGTGTGATATACACACAGTAACACGTTACACACACACAGTAACACGTTACACACGTTACACACTGTGATACACGTTACACACACACACTGTGTGATATACACACTGTGATATACACAGTAACATGTTACACACACACACAGTGTGATATACACACACACTGTAACACGTTACACACACACACAGTAACTCGTTACACACGTTACACACACAGTGATACACACACACAGTGACACACACAAACACAGTGACACACACACACACTGTAACTCGTTACACACACACACACACTGTAACACTGTGTGATATACACACTGTAACTCGTTACACACGTTACACACTGTGATACACACACACTGTGATATACACACAGTAACACGTTACACACACACAGTAACACGTTACACACACACACACACTGTGATATACACACACACTGTAACACTTTACACACACACTGTGATATACACACACACACTGTGATATACACAGTAACATGTTACACACACACACACTGTAACTCGTTACACACGTTACACACACTGTGATATACACAGTAACATGTTACACACACACACAGTAACATGTTACACACACACACACAGTAACTCGTTACACACACACACACAGTGTGATATACACAGTAACATGTTACACACACACACTGTAACTCGTTACACACGTTACACACACTGTGATATACACAGTAACATGTTACACACACACACAGTGTGATATACACACACAGTGTGATATACACACACAGTGTGATATACACACACACACTGTAACACGTTACACACACACACACTGTAACACGTTACACACGTTACACACACTGTGATATACACAGTAACATGTTACACACACACACAGTAACACGTTACACACACACACACAGTGTGATATACACACACACAGTAACACGTTACACACACACACTGTAACTCGTTACACACGTTACACACACTGTGATACACACACACACACTGTAACACATTACACACACACACTGTAACACGTTACACACACACACTGTAACACGTTACACACACACACACTGTAACACGTTACACACACACACACAGTAACACGTTACACACACACTGTAACTCGTTACACACGTTACACACACTGTGATATACACACTGTAACACGTTACACACACACACAGTGTGATTTACACACACACTGTAACACGTTACACACACACACACTGTAACACGTTACACACACACACTGTGATACACACACACTGTAACACGTTACACACACACACACTGTAACACGTTACACACACACTGTAACACGTTACACACACACTGTAACACGTTACACACACACACTGTAACACGTTACACACACACACACTGTAACACGTTACACACACAGTGTAACACGTTACACACACACAGTGTGATACACACACTGTGATACACACACTGTGATACACACACACACTGTGACACACACACACACACTGTGATACACACACAGTGTGACTTACATACATTCTTCCACCGGAATGGAAGAATGGCAGGTGCATCTTACAGATGACAAGTCGATGGTCAGAGGGCAGATCAGCTCCACGGTAGGTCCTGGTGTAAAGGACATGGGCCAGCATCCGCTGTTCCGTCACTATGTAGTCCAGCAGATGTTCTTGCTTGGACCCGGCATGCATCCGTGATGTTGTGTGGATGCGCCGATGCCGGAACAGTGTGTTGGTAATTACAAGCCCATGGGCTAAACAAAAATCTAGCAGCCTCCTACCGTTGTTATTGAGCTGATCTGGCCCATGCCCTCCAATCACTCCAGACCAGGTGCCAGCATCGTGACCAACTCGGGCATTGAAGTCACCCAACATGATGACTCTATCCCGAGGGGCCACTTTAGCCAGCACCTGTGACAGGAGGTCATAGAAGGCATCTGACTCATCGGCCTTGCCTGCATCCCTCCACGGATGTTCGTCTTCGGTGGGGGCATAAGTAACCACGACCACCATTCCTCGCCTCCGGTTGATGGGAAGGCGAGCCCAAAGTAGCCTGGGGCTTACAGCTTCCCACACCTCACCGCCACGCTCCCACGCCCCCTTATTCAGAAGAAGAGCCACACCCTGTTGTTTGGCAGTCTCCTGCCCCGAGTAGAGGGACTGTCCACCCTGCATGGTGGCAGGAGCCAGAGCCTGCAGCTGCTGTGCATTTAGCACCAAGAGATGTTGACTACCTCGCCTGGTACGCAGGAGGTCGTGGGTTCGATCCCGACCCTGACGAAGCCTGCTGCTGCTACTGCTGCTGTATATTTGAAGTCTGCGTCTATCTCTCATCATCACCATCATCACTGTGGCTAGGAGATGTTGACTACCTCGCCTGGTCTACAGGAGGTATGTGTCTCTCTCTTATCATCATCATCATCACGGTGGCTATGAGATGTTGACTACCTCGCCTGGTATACAGGAGGTCTGTGTCTCTCTCTCATCAACATCATCACGGTGGCTATGAGATGTTGACTACCTCGCCTGGTCTACAGGAGGTCTGTGTCTCTCTCTCATCATCATCATCATCATCACGGTGGCTAGGAGATGTTGACTACCTCGCCTGGTATACAGGAGGTCTGTGTCTCTCTCTCATCATCATCATCACGGTGGCTAGGAGATGTTGACTACCTCGCCTGGTCTACAGGAGGTCTGTGTCTCTCTCATCATCATCATCACGGTGGCTGTGAGATGTTGACTACCTCGCCTGGTCTACAGGAGGTCTGTGTCTCTCTCTCATCATCATCATCATCACGGTGGCTAGGAGATGTTGACTACCTCGCCTGGTCTACAGGAGGTCGTGGGTTCGATCCCGACCCTGACGATGAAGCCTGCAGCTGCTGTACATTTAGCACCAAGAGATGTTGACTACCTCGCCTGGTACGCAGGAGGTCGTGGGTTCGATCCCTGCTGCTGCAGCTGCTGTACATTTAGCACCAAGAGATGTTGACTACCTCGCCTGGTACGCAGGAGGTCGTGGGTTCGATCCCGACCCTGACGATGTCTGCTGCTACTGCTGCTGTATATTTGGAGTCAGCGTCTCTCTCATCATCATCATCATCACGGTGGCTAGGAGATGTTGACTACCTCGCCTGGTACACAGGAGGTCTGTGTCTCTCTCTCATCATCATCATCATCACCACGGTGGCTAGGAGATGTTGACTACCTCGCCTGGTCTACAGGAGGTCTGTGTCTCTCTCTCATCATCATCATCACGGTGGCTATGAGATGTTGACTACCTCGCCTGGTCTACAGGATGTCTCTGTCTCTCTCTCTCATCATCATCATCACGGTGGCTATGAGATGTTGACTACCTCGCCTGGTCTACAGGAGGTCTGTGTCTCTCTCTCATCATCATCATCATCACGGTGGCTAGGAGATGTTGACTACCTCGCCTGGTCTACAGGAGGTCTGTGTCTCTCTCATCATCATCATCACGGTGGCTGTGAGATGTTGACTACCTCGCCTGGTCTACAGGAGGTCTGTGTCTCTCTCTCATCATCATCATCATCACGGTGGCTAGGAGATGTTGACTACCTCGCCTGGTCTACAGGAGGTCGTGGGTTCGATCCCGACCCTGACGATGAAGCCTGCAGCTGCTGTACATTTAGCACCAAGAGATGTTGACTACCTCGCCTGGTACGCAGGAGGTCGTGGGTTCGATCCCTGCTGCTGCAGCTGCTGTACATTTAGCACCAAGAGATGTTGACTACCTCGCCTGGTACGCAGGAGGTCGTGGGTTCGATCCCGACCCTGACGATGTCTGCTGCTACTGCTGCTGTATATTTGGAGTCAGCGTCTCTCTCATCATCATCATCATCACGGTGGCTAGGAGATGTTGACTACCTCGCCTGGTACACAGGAGGTCTGTGTCTCTCTCTCATCATCATCATCATCACCACGGTGGCTAGGAGATGTTGACTACCTCGCCTGGTCTACAGGAGGTCTGTGTCTCTCTCTCATCATCATCATCACGGTGGCTATGAGATGTTGACTACCTCGCCTGGTCTACAGGATGTCTCTGTCTCTCTCTCTCATCATCATCATCACGGTGGCTATGAGATGTTGACTACCTCGCCTGGTCTACAGGAGGTCTGTGTCTCTCTCTCATCATCATCATCATCACGGTGGCTAGGAGATGTTGACTACCTCGCCTGGTCTACAGGAGGTCGTGGGTTCGATCCCTGCTGCTGCTGCCGCTGTATATTTAGCACCAAGAGATGTTGACTACCTCGCCTGGTCTACAGGAGGTCTGTGTCTCTCTCATCATCATCACGGTGGCTGTGAGATGTTGACTACCTCGCCTGGTACGCAGGAGGTCGTGGGTTCGATCCCGACCCTGACCATGCCTGCTGCTACTGCTGCTGTATATTTGGAGTCTGCGTCTCTCTCTCTCTCTCTCATCACGGTGGCTATGAGATGTTGACTACCTCGCCTGGTCTACAGGAGGTCTGTGTCTCTCTCTCATCATCATCATCACGGTGGCTGTGAGATGTTGACTACCTCGCCTGGTCTACAGGAGGTCTGTGTCTCTCTCATCATCATCATCATCATCACGGTGGCTAGGAGATGTTGACTACCTCGCCTGGTCTACAGGAGGTCTCTGTCTCTCTCTCTCATCATCATCATCATCACGGTGGCTAGGAGATGTTGACTACCTCGCCTGGTCTACAGGAGGTCTGTGTCTCTCTCATCATCATCACGGTGGCTATGAGATGTTGACTACCTCGCCTGGTGCTCGGGATCCAATCTCTTCCCCTCCCCACTACCGCCTGCTCCCGGGACCTCCCCAGGGTGAAGATCAAGCTGTCGTGGCTGGGACTCGACCACAAGGTGACTGGCCGGCGCTTCTACAGCCACGTGTCGTCCGTGGGCAGACGTCTCAGCAGCAGCGCCGGCCTCAAGGACCAACTCAAGGGCCTGCCAAGCTTCTCCGGTGGCAGCGGTGGTGGTGGCGGCGGAGGCGGTGGAGGCGGTGGGGGCCTCCAGAACGGCCGCTCGTTCTTCCCGTCCACCGATGACATCGACTGCAAGATGCCCGGGGGAGAGGGAGCCGAGGGTGAGGGGGAGGGGGGGGTGGGGGAGGGGGAGGGGGGGAGAGGGAGGGGGGGAGGGGGCGAGAGGGAGGGGTGGAGGAGGAGTTTGAGGGAGGAGGAGTTTGAGGGAGGAGGAGTTTTGAGGGAGGAGGAGTTTGAGGAAGGAGGAGTTTTGAGGGAGGAGGAGTTTGAGGGAGGAGGAGTTTGAGGGAGGAGGAGTTTGAGGGAGGAGGAGTTTGAGGGAGGAGGAGTTTGAGGGAGGAGGAGTTTGAGGGAGGAGGAGTTTGAGGGAGGAGGAGTGTGAGGGAGGAGGAGTTTGAGGGAGGCGGAGTTTGAGGGAGGAGGAGTTTGAGGGAGGAGGAGTTTGAGGGAGGAGGAGTTTGAGGGAGGAGGAGTTTGAGGGAGGAGGAGTTTGAGGGAGGAGGAGTTTGAGGGAGGAGGAGTTTGAGGGAGGAGGAGTGATGAGGGAGGAAGAGTTTGAGGGAGGAGGAGTTTGAGGGAGGAGGAGTTTGAGGGAGGAGGAGTTTGAGGGAGGAGGAGTTTGAGGGAGGAGGAGTTTGAGGGAGGAGGAGTTTGAGGGAGGAGGAGTTTGAGGGAGGAGGAGTTTGAGGGAGGAGGAGTTTTGAGGGAGGAGGAAGTTGAGGGAGGAGGAGTTTGAGGGAGGAGGAGTTTGAGGAGGGGAGGAGTTTGAGGGAGGAGGGTTTGAGGGAGGAGGAGTTTGAGGGAGGAGGAGTTTTGAGAGAGGAGTTGAGGGAGGAGAGTTTGAGGGAGGAGGAGTTGAGGGGAGGAGGAGTTTGAGGGAGGAGGAGTTGAGGGAGGAGGAGTTTGAGGGAGGAGGAGTTTGAGGGAGGAGGAGTTGAGGGAGGAGGAGTTTGAGGAGGAGGAGTTTGAGGGGAGGAGGAGTTTGAGGGAGGAGGAGATTTGAGGGAGGAGGAGTTTGAGGAGGAGGAGTTTGAGGGAGGAGGAGTTTGAGGGAGGAGGAGTTTGAGGGAGGGAGGAGTTTGAGGGAGGAGGAGTTGAGGGAGGAGGAGTTTGAGGGAGGAGGAGTTTGAGGGAGGAGGAGTTTGAGGGAGGAGGAGTTTGAGGGAGGAGGAGTTTGAGGAGAGAGTTTGAGGAGGGAGGAGTTTGAGGGAGGAGGAGTTTGAGGGGAGGAGGAGTTTGAGGAGAGAGTTGGAGGGAGGAGGAGTTTGAGGGAGGAGGGAGTTTGAGGGAGGAGGAGGTTTGGGGAGGAAGGAGTTTGAGGGAGGAGGAGTTTGAGGGAGGAAGGAGTTGGAGGGAGGAGGAGTTTAGGGCGAGGAGGAGTTGAAGGGAGGAGGAGTTGGAGGGAGGAGGAGTTTTGATGGAAGGAGGGGAGTTGTTGAGGGAGGAAGAGGTTTGAGGGAGGAGGAGTTTGAGGGAGGAGGAGGTTGAGGGAGGAGGAGGGGGAGGAGGAGGAGTGTGGAGGGAGGAGGAGTTTGAGGGAGGAGGAGTTTGAGGGAGGAGGGAGTTTGAGGGAGGAGGGATTTGAAGGGAGGGAGGAGTTTGAGGGAGGAGGAGTTTGAAGGGAGGAAGGAGGTTGAGGGAGGAGGAGTTTGAGGGAGGAGGAGGTGGAGGGAGGAGGAGTTTGAGGGAGGAGGAGTTTGAGGGAGGAGGAGTTTGAGGGAGAGGAGGTTGAGGGAGAGGAGTTGAGGGAGGGAGGATTTGAGGGAGGAGGATTTGAGGGGAGGAGGATTTGAGGGAGGAGGGAGTTTGAGGGAGGAGGATTTTGAGGGAGGAGGAGTTTGAGGGAGGAGGAGTTTGAGGGAGGAGGAGTTTGAGGGAGGAGGAGTTTGAGGGAGGAGGAGTTTGAGGGAGGAGGAGTTTGAGGGAGGAGGAGTTTGAGGGAGGAGGAGTTTGAGGGAGGAGGAGTTTGAGGGAGGAGGAGTTTGAAGGAGGAGGAGTTGAGGGAGGGGGATTTGAGGGAGGTGGAGTTTGAGGGAGGAGGAGTTTGAGGGGAGGAGGAGTTTGAGGGAGGAGGAAGGTTATTGACGGGAGGAGAGTTTGAGGGAGGAGGAGTTTGATGGAGGAGGAGTTTGGAGGGAAGGACGGAGTTTTGGGAGGGAGGAGGACAGTTTGGAGGAGTAGGGAGTTTTGAGGGAAGGAGGAGGTTGGAGGAGGAGTGATTTGAGGGAGGAGGAGTTTGAGGGAGGGAGGAGTTTGAGGGAGGAGGAGTTTGAGGGAGGAGGAGTTTGAGGGGAGGAGGAGTTTGAGGGAGGAGAGTTTGAGGGAGGAGGAGTTTGAGGGAGGAGGTAGTTTGAGGGAGGAGGAGTTTGTGGAGGGGAGGAGGAGTTTGAGGGAGGAGGAGTTTGAGGGAGGAGGAGTTTGAGGGAGGAGGAGTTTAGGGAGGAGGAGTTTGAGGGAGGAGGAGTTTGAGGGAGGAGGAGTTTGAGGGAGGAGGAGTTTGAGGGAGGAGGAGTTTGAGGGAGGAGGAGTTTGAGGGAGGAGGAGGTTGAGGGAGGAGGAGTTTGAGGGAGGAGGAGTTTGAGGGAGGGGGAGTTTGAGGGAGGGGAGTTCTGAGGGAGGAGGAGTTTTTGAGGGAGGAGGAGTTTGAGGGAGAGGAGTTTGAGGGAGGAGGAGTTTGAGGGAGGAGGAGTTTGAGGGAGGAGGAGTTTGAGGGAGGAGGAGTTTGAGGGAGGAGGAGTTTGAGGGAGGAGGAGTTTGAGGGAGGAGGAGTTTGAGGGAGAGGAGTTTGAGGGAGGAGGAGTTTGAGGGAGGAGGAGTTTGAGGGAGGAGGAGTTTGAGGGAGGAGGAGTTTGAGGGAGGAGGAGTTTTGAGGGAGGAGGAGTTTGAGGGAGGGGGAGTTTGAGGGAGGGGAGTTTGAGGGAGGAGGAGTTTGAGTGGAGGGAGGAGGAGTTTGAGGGAGGAGGGAGTTTGAGGGAGGAGGAGTTTGAGGGAGGAGGAGTTTGAGGGAGGAGGAGTTTGAGGGAGGAGGAGTTTGGAGGGAGGAGGAGTTTGGAGGGAGGAGGAGTTTGAGGGAGGAGGAGTTTGAGGGAGGAGGAGGAGTTTGAGGAGGATGTAGAGAGTTTGAGGGAGGAGGAGTTTGAGGGAGGAGGAGTTTGAGGGAGGAGGAGTTTGAGGGAGGAGGAGTTTGAGGGAGGAGGAGTTTTGAGGGAGGAGGAGTTTGAGGGAGGCGGAGTTTGAGGGAGGGAGGAGTTTGGAGGGAGGAGGAGTTTGAGGGAGGAGGAGTTTGAGGGAGGAGGAGTTTGAGGGGGGGGCGTTTGAGGGAGGGGGAGTTTGAGGGAGGAGGGTTTGAGGAGGAGGAGTTTGAGGGAGGAGGAGTTTGAGGGAGGAGGAGTTTTGAGGGAGGAGGAGTTTGGAGAGTTTGCGGAGGAGGAGTTTTGAGGGAGGAGGAGTTTGAGGGAGAGGAGAGTTTGATGGAGGAGTTTCTGAGGAGTTTTGAGGGAGGAGGAGTTTGAGGGAGGAGGAGTTTGAGGGAGGAGGAGTTTGAGGGAGGAGGAGTTTGAGGAGGAGGAGTTGAGGGAGGAGGTTTGAGGGAGGAGGAGTTTGAGGAGGAGGAGTTTGAGGGAGGAGGAGTTTGAGGGAGGAGGAGTTTGAGGGAGGAGGAGTTTGAGGGAGGAGGAGTTTTGAGGGAGGAGGAGTTTGAGGGAGGAGGAGTTTGAGGGAGGAGGAGTTTGAGGGAGGGGGAGTTTGAGGGAGGAGGAGTTTGAGGGAGGAGGAGTTTGAGGGAGGAGGAGTTTGAGGAGGAGGAGTTTGAGGGAGGAGGAGTTTGAGGGAGGAGGAGTTTGAGGGAGGAGGAGTTTGAGGGAGGAGGAGTTTGAGGGAGGAGGAGTTTGAGGGAGGAGGAGTTTGAGGGAGGAGGAGTTTGAGGGAGGAGAGTTTGAGGGAGGAGGAGTTTGAGGGAGGAGGAGTTTGAGGGAGGAGGAGTTTGAGGGAGGAGGAGTTTGAGGAGGAGGAGTTTGAGGAGGAGGAGTTTGAGGGAGGAGGAGTTTGAGGGAGGAGGAGTTTGAGGGAGGAGGAGTTTGAGGGAGGAGGAGTTTGAGGGAGGAGGAGTTTGAGGGAGGAGGAGTTTGAGGGAGGAGGAGTTTGAGGGAGGGGGAGTTTGAGGGAGGAGGAGTTTGAGGGAGGAGGAGTTGAGGGAGGAGGAGTTTTGAGGGAGGAGGAGTTTGAGGGAGGAGGAGTTTGAGGGAGGAGGAGTTTGAGGGAGGAGGAGTTTGAGGGAGGAGGAGTTTGAGGAGGAGGAGTTTGAGGGAGGAGGAGTTTGAGGGAGGAGGGAGTTTGAGGGAGGAGGAGTTTGAGGGAGGAGGAGTTTGAGGGAGGAGGAGTTTGAGGGAGGAGGAGTTTTGAGGGAGGAGGAGTTTGAGGGAGGAGGAGTTTGAGGGAGGAGGAGTTTGAGGGAGGAGGAGTTTGAGGGGAGGAGTTTGAGGGAGGAGGAGTTTTGAGGGAGGAGGAGTTTGAGGGGAGGAGGAGTTTGAGGGAGGAGGAGTTTGAGGGAGGAGGAGTTTGAGGGAGGAGGAGTTTGAGGGAGGAGGAGTTTGAGGGAGGAGGAGTTTGAGGGAGGAGGAGTTTGAGGGAGGAGAGTTTGAGGGAGGAGGAGTTTGAGGGAGGAGGAGTTTGAGGGAGGAGGAGTTTGAGGGAGTGAGGAGTTTGGAGGAGAGGGGAGTTTGAGGGAGGGGGAGTTTGAGGGAGGAGGAGTTTGAGGGAGGAGGAGTTTGAGGGAGGAGGAGTTTGAGGGGAGGAGTTTGAGGGAGGAGAGTTTGAGGGAGGAGGAGTTTTGAGGGAGGGGAGGAGGTTGAGGAGGAGGAGTTTGAGGGAGGAGGAGTTTGAGGGAGGAGGAGTTTGAGGGAGGAGGAAGTTTGAGGGAGGAGGAGTTTGAGGGAGGAGGAGTTTTGAAGGAGGAGGAGTTTGAGGGAGGAGGAGTTTGAGGGAGGAGGAGGTTGAGGGAGGAGGAGTTTGAGGGAGGAGAGTTGAGGGAGGAGGAGTTGAGGGAGGAGGAGTTTGAGGGAGGAGGAGTTTGAGGGAGGAGGAGTTTGAGGGAGGAGGAGTTTGGGAGAGGAGTTTGAGGGAGGAGGAGTTTGAGGGAGGAGGAGTTTGAGGGAGGAGGAGTTTGAGGGAGGAGGAGTTTGAGGGAGGAGGAGTTTGAGGGAGGAGGAGTTGAGGGAGGAGGAGTTTGAGGGAGGAGGAGTTTGAGGGAGGAGGAGTTTGAGGGAGGAGGAGTTGAGGTGAGGAGGAGTTTGAGGGAGGAGGAGTTTGAGGGAGGAGGAGTTTGAGGAGGAGGAGTTTGAGGGAGGAGGAGTTTGGGGAGGAGGAGTTTGAGGGAGGAGGAGTTTGAGGGAGGAGGAGTTTGAGGGAGGAGGAGTTTGAGGAGGAGGAGTTTGAGGGAGGAGGAGTTTGAGGGGGGAGGGTTTGAGGGAGGAGGAGTTGAGGGAGGAGGAGTTTGAGGGAGGAGGAGTTTGAGGGAGGAGGAGTTTGAGGGGAGGAGTTTGAGGGAGGAGGAGTTTGAGGGAGGAGGAGTTTTGAGGAGGAGGAGTTTGAGAGGGGGAGGAGTTTGAGAGGAGGAGGAGTTTGAGGGAGGAGGAGTTTGAGGGAGGAGGAGTTTGAGGGAGGAGGAGTTTGAGGGAGGAGGAGTTTGAGGGAGGAGGAGTTTGAGGGAGGAGGAGAGTTTGAGAGGAGGAGGAGTTTGAGGGAGGAGGAGTTTGAGGGAGAGAGTTTGAGGGAGGAGGAGTTTGAGGGAGGAGGGTTTGAGGGGAGGAGGTTTTGAGGGTTTAGAGGAGTTTGAGGGAGGGAGGAGGTGGCTCTGTGAGATGTCAACAACCTTGCCCGGTGTACAGGCGGACGTGGGTTCAATCACGTGCCCTAACAATCTCTGTTGTGTCCCTCCCCCAACCCCACCCCTCCCCCTCCCTCCCCTCCCTCCTCCCCTCCCTTCCCCCTTCCTCCCCCCTCCCCCCTCCCTCCCTCTCCTCCCCTCCCTCCCCTCCCCCCTCCCCTCCCCCCCTCCCTCCCTCTCCTCCCCCCTCCCTCCCTCCCTCCCTCCCTCCCTCCCTCCCTCCCTCCCCCTCCCTCCCCCCCTCTCCTCCCTCCCCCCCCTCTCCTCCCTCCCCTCTCCCCCCCTCCCCCCTCCCTCCCTCCCCCCTCCCTCCCTCCCCCCCCTCCCCCCTCCCCTCCCCTCTCCTCCCTCCCCTCCCTCCCTCCCCTCCCTCCCCCCCTCCCCCCCCTCCCCTCCCTCTCCTCCCTCCCCCCCCTCCCCCCTCCCTCTCACCCCCTCCCTCCCTCCCTCCCCTCCCTACCCCTCTCCTCCCTCCCCCCCCGCTCCCCCCTCCCTCCCCTCCCTCCCTCCCCTCCCTCCCTCCCCTCCCTCCCTCTCCTCCCCCCTCCCTCCCCTCCCTCCCCTCTCCCTCCCCCCTCCCTCCCCTCCCTCCCCCCCTTCTCCCCCTCCTCCCCCCACCAGATGCCAGCTCGCCGCCGGGCTTCATGCGAAGCGTCATGACCCCCATCATGCTGTGGAGCCTGGCCACCATGTCCATCACCCAGCTGAGACTCATCTTCTACATGGGGGCCATGAACTCCATGCTCGAGTTCCTGGCCGAGGGCGACTCACAACAAGGTATCACGTGATCACGTGATCACGTTATCACGTTGGCCACCATGTCCATCACCCAGCTGAGACTCATCTTCTACATGGGGGCCATGAACTCCATGCTCGAGTTCCTGGCCGAGGGCGACTCACAACAAGGTATCACGTGATCACGTGATCACGTTATCACGTTGTCCACCATGTCCATCACCCAGCTGAGACTCATCTTCTACATGGGGGCCATGAACTCCATGCTCGAGTTCCTGGCCGAGGGCGACTCACAACAAGGTATCACGTTATCACGTGATCACGTTATCACGTTATCACGTTGTCACGTTATCACGTTATCACGTTGGCCACCATGTCCATCACCCAGCTGAGACTCATCTTCTACATGGGGGCCATGAACTCCATGCTCGAGTTCCTGGCCGAGGGCGACTCACAACAAGGTATCACGTGATCACGTTATCACGTTATCACGTTATCACGTTGTCACGTTGGCCACCATGTCCATCACCCAGCTGAGACTCATCTTCTACATGGGGGCCATGAACTCCATGCTCGAGTTCCTGGCCGAGGGCGACTCACAACAAGGTATCACGTGATCACGTGATCACGTTATCACGTTGGCCACCATGTCCATCACCCAGCTGAGACTCATCTTCTACATGGGGGCCATGAACTCCATGCTCGAGTTCCTGGCCCGAGGGCGACTCACAACAAGGTATCACGTGATCACGTGATCACGTTATCACGTTGGCCACCATGTCCATCACCCAGCTGAGACTCATCTTCTACATGGGGGCCATGAACTCCATGCTCGAGTTCCTGGCCGAGGGCGACTCACAACAAGGTATCACGTGATCACGTGATCACGTTATCTCGTTATCTCGTTATCACGTTATCACGTTGGCCACCATGTCCATCACCCAGCTGAGACTCATCTTCTACATGGGGGCCATGAACTCCATGCTCGAGTTCCTGGCCGAGGGCGACTCACAACAAGGTATCACGTTATCACGTTATCTCGTTATCACGTTATCTCGTTATCACGTTATCACGTTGGCCACCATGTCCATCACCCAGCTGAGACTCATCTTCTACATGGGGGCCATGAACTCCATGCTCGAGTTCCTGGCCGAGGGCGACTCACAACAAGGTATCACGTTATCACGTTATCACGTTATCTCGTTATCTCGTTATCACGTTATCACGTTGGCCACCATGTCCATCACCCAGCTGAGACTCATCTTCTACATGGGGGCCATGAACTCCATGCTCGAGTTCCTGGCCGAGGGCGACTCACAACAAGGTATCACGTTATCACGTTATCTCGTTATCACGTTATCTCGTTATCACGTTATCACGTTGGCCACCATGTCCATCACCCAGCTGAGACTCATCTTCTACATGGGGGCCATGAACTCCATGCTCGAGTTCCTGGCCGAGGGCGACTCGCAACAAGGTATCACGTGATCACGTGATCACGTTATCTCGTTATCTCGTTATCACGTTATCACGTTGGCCACCATGTCCATCACCCAGCTGAGACTCATCTTCTACATGGGGGCCATGAACTCCATGCTCGAGTTCCTGGCCGAGGGCGACTCACAACAAGGTATCACGTTATCACGTTATCACGTTATCACGTTATCTCGTATCACGTTATCACGTTGGCCACATGTCCATCACCCAGCTTGAGACTCATCTTCTACATGGGGGCCATGAACTCCATGCTCGAGTTCCTGGCCGAGGGCGACTCACAACAAGGTATCACGTTATCACGTTATCACGTTATCTCGTTATCTCGTTATCACGTTATCACGTTGGCCACCCATGTCCATCACCAGCTGAGACTCATCTTCTACATGGGGGCCATGAACTCCTGCTCGAGTTCCTGGCCGAGGGTCGACTCACAACAAGGTATCACGTTATCACGTTATCTCGTTATCACGTTATCTCGTTATCACGTTATCACGTTGGCCACCATGTCCATCACCCAGCTGAGACTCATCTTCTACATGGGGGCCATGAACTCCATGCTCGAGTTCCTGGCCGAGGGCGACTCACAACAAGGTATCACGTTATCACGTTATCACGTTATCTCGTTATCACGTTATCACGTTATCACGTTATCACGTTATCCACCATGTCCATCACCCAGCTGAGACTCATCTTCTACATGGGGGCCATGAACTCCATGCTCGAGTTCCTGGCCGAGGGCGACTCACAACAAGGTATCACGTTATCTCGTTATCACGTTATCACGTTGGCCACCATGTCCATCACCCAGCTGAGACTCATCTTCTACATGGGGGCCATGAACTCCATGCTCGAGTTCCTGGCCGAGGGCGACTCACAACAAGGTATCACGTTATCACGTTATCACGTTGGCCACCATGTCCATCACCCAGCTGAGACTCATCTTCTACATGGGGGCCATGAACTCCATGCTCGAGTTCCTGGCCGAGGGCGACTCACAACAAGGTATCACGTTATCACGTTATCACGTCATCACGTTATCACGCTATCACGTTGGCCACCATGTCCATCACCCAGCTGAGACTCATCTTCTACATGGGGGCCATGAACTCCATGCTCGAGTTCCTGGCCGAGGGCGACTCACAACAAGGTATCACGTGATCACGTGATCACGTTATCACGTTGTCCACCATGTCCATCACCCAGCTGAGACTCATCTTCTACATGGGGGCCATGAACTCCATGCTCGAGTTCCTGGCCGAGGGCGACTCGCAACAAGGTATCACGTGATCACGTTATCACGTTATCACGTTATCACGTTGTCCACCATGTCCATCACCCAGCTGAGACTCATCTTCTAGATGGGGGCCATGAACTCCATGCTCGAGTTCCTGGCCGAGGGCGACTCACAACAAGGTATCACGTGATCACGTTATCACGTTATCACGTTGGCCACCATGTCCATCACCCAGCTGAGACTCATCTTCTACATGGGGGCCATGAACTCCATGCTCGAGTTCCTGGCCGAGGGCGACTCACAACAAGGTATCACGTGATCACGTGATCACGTTATCACGTTGTCCACCATGTCCATCACCCAGCTGAGACTCATCTTCTACATGGGGGCCATGAACTCCATGCTCGAGTTCCTGGCCGAGGGCGACTCACAACAAGGTATCACGTGATCACGTTGTCACGTTGGCCACCATGTCCATCACCCAGCTGAGACTCATCTTCTACATGGGGGCCATGAACTCCATGCTCGAGTTCCTGGCCGAGGGCGACTCACAACAAGGTATCACGTGATCACGTGATCACGTTATCACGTTATCACGTTGGCCACCATGTCCATCACCCAGCTGAGACTCATCTTCTACATGGGGGCCATGAACTCCATGCTCGAGTTCCTGGCCGAGGGCGACTCGCAACAAGGTATCACGTGATCACGTGATCACGTTATCTCGTTGTCACGTCATCACGTTATCACGTTATCACGTTGTCACGTTGGCCACCATGTCCATCACCCAGCTGAGACTCATCTTCTACATGGGGGCCATGAACTCCATGCTCGAGTTCCTGGCCGAGGGCGACTCACAACAAGGTATCACGTGATCACGTGATCACGTTATCTCGTTATCACGCTATCACGTTGGCCACCATGTCCATCACCCAGCTGAGACTCATCTTCTACATGGGGGCCATGAACTCCATGCTCGAGTTCCTGGCCGAGGGCGACTCACAACAAGGTATCACGTGATCACGTTATCTCGTTATCACGTTATCACGTGATCACGTTATCACGTTGGCCACCATGTCCATCACCCAGCTGAGACTCATCTTCTACATGGGGGCCATGAACTCCATGCTCGAGTTCCTGGCCGAGGGCGACTCACAACAAGGTATCACGTGATCACGTGATCACGTTATCTCGTTATCACGTTATCACGTTATCACGTTGGCCACCATGTCCATCACCCAGCTGAGACTCATCTTCTACATGGGGGCCATGAACTCCATGCTCGAGTTCCTGGCCGAGGGCGACTCACAACAAGGTATCACGTGATCACGTGATCACGTTATCACGTTGTCCACCATGTCCATCACCCAGCTGAGACTCATCTTCTACATGGGGGCCATGAACTCCATGCTCGAGTTCCTGGCCGAGGGCGACTCACAACAAGGTATCACGTTATCCGTTATCACGTTATCACGTTATCACGTGATCACGTTGGCCACCATGTCCATCACCCAGCTGAGACTCATCTTCTACATGGGGGCCATGAACTCCATGCTCGAGTTCCTGGCCGAGGGCGACTCACAACAAGGTATCACGTTATCACGTTATCACGTTATCACGTTGGCCACCATGTCCATCACCCAGCTGAGACTCATCTTCTACATGGGGGCCATGAACTCCATGCTCGAGTTCCTGGCCGAGGGCGACTCACAACAAGGTATCACGTGATTACGTTATCACGTTATCACGTTATCACGTTATCACGTTATCACGTTGGCCACCATGTCCATCACCCAGCTGAGACTCATCTTCTACATGGGGGCCATGAACTCCATGCTCGAGTTCCTGGCCGAGGGCGACTCGCAACAAGGTATCACGTGATCACGTGATCACGTTATCACGTTATCACGTTATCACGTTATCACGTTATCACGTTGGCCACCATGTCCATCACCCAGCTGAGACTCATCTTCTACATGGGGGCCATGAACTCCATGCTCGAGTTCCTGGCCGAGGGCGACTCACAACAAGGTATCACGTGATTACGTTATCACGTTATCACGTTATCACGTTATCACGTTGGCCACCATGTCCATCACCCAGCTGAGACTCATCTTCTACATGGGGGCCATGAACTCCATGCTCGAGTTCCTGGCCGAGGGCGACTCGCAACAAGGTATCACGTGATCACGTGATCACGTTATCACGTTATCACGTTATCACGTTATCACGTTATCACGTTGGCCACCATGTCCATCACCCAGCTGAGACTCATCTTCTACATGGGGGCCATGAACTCCATGCTCGAGTT